GCGGCACGGAGGCCCACACGTCCACGTCGTCGTGGGAGAAGCGCCGCGTGGGTGGCACCTGCGGGAAAGGGGCAGCGGTTAGACCTTTTCCCAAAGCTCAGTTTAGGCATCTGTACCTTCGACTGCTTGGAGAGAGGGCTCCTTGAAGGGGTACTGAGCCCCAAGGAGATAGGAGGACCACCAGAATGCCCTTCCCAGAGCATATGGGACAGGGACTGGGGTGTTTGACCTCAGTGCACCACTCAGAAATGTCACGCCGGGCCAGAGGGTGTCACCTGTCCCCAGAGGGTGGCAGCCACCTCTGTGGCTACCCTGGGGACAGGTGAGATGAGCCCCCATACGCATGTTTTTGACCTGCCTGGTCCCCACCTGCAGGTACTGCATCTTGTCCTCGGGCAGAGGCCGGAGCTGGTAGAGCTGGGGCAGGCCTCCCTCCAGTGCAGAAAGCTCGTACTTGGCCATCCTATCCAGGGCCACAAAGTCGGTCCTGTAGCTGTAGTCGAGAGAACGCTCCAATACCAGGTCCTGGGACACCCCACCCTCCAGGCTGGACTCTGCGGGGCAAGGCAGGGGCTCAAGGTCAAGCTCGGCCAAGCTGGCCCTGAGGACCCATCAGGCCCAATCCCAGCACAGATACCCTTTAGCCAAGACACGGGGCAAAGCTCACCAGCAGCCAGGCTCCTCACCTGGAACATGGGAGGGGGAGGGCTTTCCCCCAGGAGCTGCAGGGGACACTCAGTAACACATGCAAGGTCTACAGAACCTACAGGGGCAAGGCTCAGTCTAGGACAATATTGCCGTTGGCGTCAGCAGGCAGTCCCAGGGTCTCCAGGAGCCCCTGGGGCAGTTCTCTCGGGGACTCCTAAGTGGGGAGTGGAGTGGGCCTGGGGAAACACCCAATGGTTTCTAGAGCCTCTAATACAGTGGTTCTCAACCTTCCTCATGCCGAGACCCTTTCCTACAGTTCTTCATGTGGTGGTGACCCCTCCCAACCATAAAATTATTTTCGTTGCTACTTCATCACTGTCATTTTGCTACTGTTACGAATCGGGCAACCCTTTTGAAAGGGTCGTTCAACCCCAAAGGGGTCGCAACCCACAGGTTGAGAACCACTGCTCTAATAGGAAGCCTGCCATAGCTGAGGGGTATAAGGTGTGCTCTGGGGGCCACTCAGCCCATGCATGGTTCCCTGTGTATCTCAGGGACCTTCAGGATGACACAGGGGGTGACCTAGCAGCTGTGCTCCTGCGGACCCAGTGACCACACTCATATCACTCTTCAGGGCCACACAGGTCCAGCCTCACCATCATCTGACTCCTCATCATTAGCCATGAGGGCCATGCACTTCGCCCAGACAGCCTTGACGTCAGCACGGTAGCGGTCGCAGGCCCAGAGGAAGGCGGGCAGCAGCAGGGCCTGGGCCACGGAACACCACAGCACACACAGGACCATCCAGGGCGCCGCGGCATCTGCCCGCAGGCTGCTGAAGCTCACCACCTGTGAAAGGATGCGGCCTGGCCCTGAGGACCCTACCCGGGACTTCCCACTCCCCAACATCCAGACTTCTGAGATCCAGAAAGAGTAGCCTGGGAATGAGGAGGTCTTGCTCACCAGGAGCAGCCTGCTGCCCAGATCAACAGTCTACCCCTCCTCCCTGTGTGCATAGCCCTTCACAGTGGGCTGGGCAGCACTTGCCATTGCCCATAGCTGCGGATGTGATCTTTATTGAAAACAGGGTCTCTGTCAATGTAATCAAGTTAAGATGAGGCCATACTGGATTAGGATGGGCCCTAACCCCGTGAGGAGCCCTGGTGGCATTGTGGTTATGCATTGGGCTGCTACCTACACGGTAAGCAGTTCAAGACCATCAGCTGCTCTGAGGGAGAAAGAGAATGCTTTCTACTCCTGTGAAGAGTTACAGTCTCAGAAACCCACGGGAGGGATTGTCCTCTGCCCTACAGAGTTGCTGTGAATCGGCACCAATTCAATGGCCATGAATTTTCTAACCCAATGGCAGATGTTCTTGTGAAAGGAAACTGTCTACAAGGCGACCTCCCTGTGATGTCAGAGGCAGCGGTCGAAGTAACAAGTCTACAAATCTAGGTAGAAACTCCCAGAAGCTGCAAGAGGCAAGTAGGAACTGACTCCAGCCTTTGAAAGGCACATAGTGGCCTTGCTGACACCTCGATTTTTGACTTCCTGCCTCCTGAAGGCAACTTCCGCTGTCGTAAGCCACTTACTCTATGAAGCTTTGCTACGGCTGTCCCCGGAAATGAGACCTGGAGAGGAAGTGTGGGGCGTGGGGCCATATGCTGGTTCTGCCTTCGGCAAGCGGAGTCGCCCTTGGTAAGCTGCTAAACCTCACAGAGGCTTCGTGTCTCAGCAGTCCCAGGGCTATGCACACGCTACACAACAAGGCAGGACTCCCATCGTCCATGCCAGCGCACTCATAGGCGGCACCACCCGTCTGTCATTGGAAGCCTGTATGTGGCTACGGTTGAACGAGTTTCGGCAGAGCTTCCACATGAAGAGGGACTAGGAAGAAAGGTCTGGTGATTGAATTCCAAATACCAGTCAATGAAAAACCCTACAGATCATAGCAGGAGGAGACCCAGCAGCATTTTAGGTCATGGTGCGTGTGGCTAGCATGAGTCCAAGACCAACTCAGAAGCGCCTGACGGCAGCAGCCACCACCAAGGAAGGAGTCGACAAAGCCGGGTCCCTGATTTGGATTCTGGCCTCCAGAAGGAGGAGACAACTGCATCTCGGTTCTTTAAAGACACCCAGTTGTTGCGGTTCCAGATCACTGACACTCTTCTCCATTCACCCGGGAAAACGGTGGGCACATTATGCTGCCTCCCACACCCTCTTCATGGAATGGGCCCAAGGAGCGGGCAGACCGTTCCCCTGTAGCATTGCAGGAAGACTGGCTCTGCAGTTGCCTGACATGGGTTCAAATCCCTCTAGGCTACCCTGACTGTGGCGGCCCACTTGGCCCCTCTAAACCTCAGTTTCCAAATCTGTAAAATGGGAAGGATGCCTGTGGCCACTTCAGAGGATAGCACTCGGGGTGTGACCAGGGCTGCCCCAGAACCCCCCCGCCCTCCACAAGGACCCCCACCCGGCACACTCACACACCAGCACAGGGAAGCCCATGAGGCAGTCGTAGATGAGGACGACGGTGGCCACGAGGCCCGTAATCTGCAGCGAGGTCTTGGCGGGCTCGGAGCCGTCCATGGAGGAGCGGCGCTTACCCTGGGCGTCCTCCACCACGATGGCTGGCACGGTGAAGGCCCGGTGGTCGGCCCGGCGCCCGGCCTGCAGAACCAGCGTCTGGAAGAGGGTGATGGCGGTGCAGACCACACCCATAGCCACGCTGCCTCCCACCAGCAGGAGGAAGCAGACGCCAAAGCCCAGGCCGATCTCGGCCACGATGAAGCGGCAGCCATGGGTGTAGAAGCGTTCGCTCGTGTCGTGCCAGCCGACGGCAGGCAGGGCCGACAGGATGAAGGACACCATCCAGATGCCCATGACTGTGTGCACCGCCTGCTTCTTGGCGTTGCTCAGCCTGGCATGGGGGATGGAGGGAGCGGGCCTCACTCCCAGCATCCCCCCAGGGGCCCCAACCACCCCTGGACCCCAGAAGACCACAGTCACACCAAGCCATCAAGGCAGGGACCCTGTCCCCTACCCAGGGGCTAACTGGTGCACACTCTCCCCCTGCAGTGCCCACACGGGCATGCTCCCGCAGCCCAGAGCAGCGCCGCTCGGCCCCTCCTGAGCCCCTTGCCTGCCTGCCCTGGGCTTGAGTGCATGCGGGTACAGCAGGTGCACATGGGCACGGGCCAGCACGTCCCTGCTCCAGGCTCCAGGCTGGACACTGGTGTGGACGCATCGCACGCAAGGGCTCCCCGGGCTCACCGGTAGTTGACAGGCCAGCGGACCATCCACATCCGGTGGTACGAGAGGGAGGTGACGGAGAAGCAGGTGGCCAGGGTGAGGGTGTAGAAGGTAGAGACGAAGACCTTGCAGAGGCCCTCGTTCCACTCGTAGTCGGGGTGCTGGCGCCGCAGCTGCACCACGGCGTAGGTGGCGATGGGCACGGCCACGTTGAGCATGTGGGTGGCCGCCAGTGTGCACAGCAGGAACTCCAGTGGCTTCCACTTCTTCTGCTTGGCGCCGATGCTGAGGATGCCCCAGGCATTGGCCAGCAGGGAGAGGCCACCACACACTAGCCAGCCCACTGCGCTGCCAGGCAGCCGCTGCTCCTCACTCATGGTGCCGAAGGGGCGCGAGGCCGGGTGGCTGGGGCATCCTCCTCCAGCCAGCCTGGCCTCAGAGTAGCAGCCCTCCTGCGTGCTGGCTCCAGGGGAGCGGGGACCTGGAGTATCTGCAGCAGGGAGGCCAGAGAGCACTCAGCCACCCTCCCTAGGGGACGGTGAGAGGGCCAGCCCATGCACCATGTCCTGCCTGCTCCTGCCTCAGGCTAGGCTGCTCTGCTGGGGAGAGGGAGGGGCTCCTGCCCCTGTTGCAGGCACCCTGGGACCTGTGTGCCCCAACCAAGAACCAAACCAGCTGCCTTGGAGTCGATCCCAGCTGACAGCAACTCGAGGGTTACACAGTAGGACTGAGGGTAGAACTCAGTCCCATGGGGATTGCTTGGCCGCAGATCGCTGCGGCTCATGGGGCTGCTGGCTGGGCTCAAACGGCCAGCCTTGGGGTTAAGCAGCCAAGCACAAAGTGTCTGTGCCACCCAGGGAGCCTGGCCTGCATACGACATGCCCACCAAGTGCACGCTCCCTTACTCGTATCCACTGATGGTCAAAGCTTGGAGTGTGGGCATCCTCCAGGACTGGCTGGGTGCTCTTGCCCCATCGGTGCCTGGTCCTGCCCCAGAGGAGGCCCTCTTGCAATCAAACATTCTGGGATGCTTGCACAGTCCCCTAGTTGGGGACTCTTGTCTTCGTTTGTTCCACTTCTTCTGGTCAGCCCCCAAGAGGACTGAGCCTCCCAATGCTTCCTGTTCTCTCCCGACCCTCTGACTGACCTGTGGGGGAGGCAAGAGCTTTCCCCACTGCGAGGCCCACCCTGGGCATGGGACAGTGTGCCTTGTCTGGTCAGCCCTGCCTGGGCACTCCTGGCAGCACCTGGCACCAGTACTGCTGGGTTTGAATTCCTCCTCAGTAGGCATGCTGGGTGGCTTGGCCAGGTTCCTGTACCAGTGTCCCTCTCTGAGCCAGGAACTGGGAAGCCTCCTCCACAAATGTTACGTCCCGAAAGCCCTGAGCCTGGGGCTCACGCGCAATGGACACTGTAGGGGAGCCGTCAGTGTGTGTGCCGGGGAAAGGCAAAACAGCACAGACTCTGTAGAACAGGGTCAGGGGGGGTCCTCAGCAGGCTAAACACAGAACGGCCTTGTGGCCCATCAAATCCACTCCCGGCTCCGTGTCCTCGAATCTTGAAAGCAAGGACTCCACCCGGTAGTGTACGCCCAGTATTCACAACAGCCCCCAGGGGAGATCACAGTGGGCACACGCTGGGCTGCGATCCACAAGGTCAGCAGTTTGAAACCACCAGTCAGAAACTCACAAGGGCAGCTCTACCCTGTCCTATCGGATTGCTGTGAGTCAGTATCCACTGCGATGGCAATGAATTTGGTGTGGGTCTCCATCCACAGGAGAATGGACCAGCCGGAATGTGGTCTCGCCCTGCAACAGAGGACTCCCCACCCTCAAGGAAAAGGAGGTTCTGATACAGCTGAGGGCGGAGTGCAGCTGGAGGAGACCAACCACACGTGGCACACGATCCCACTCAGCAGACAAAACGCCTAGAGTTCAGAGCTCCACCGGGGCAGGGGGCGGGATTGTTTAGGAAGCCCTGCGTTTCTCTGTGTTGGGAAGGGAATTGGCCAAGGCTATGGATGACCGCGATGCCCCATGACTGATGTAACTGAAGTCACAATTGGACATGTGACTGTCTTACATTTATTTTGTGTGTTGTGGGTGGCAACAATCCAAAACAAAATCACACCTTGGGCCCAGATCTTGTGCCCAGCAGTGCCCTGGGACAGCAGTCGGTACTGTGTCCTGGGCAGCTCAGGCAGCGGGAGTCCAGGAACAACCTGGAGACCAGGCTTCACTCTGAGAAGAAAAGGCCGACACCCTTTGGACTGATCCTGGGAGGGAGGCAGGAGCTGGGGACTGGGTAGTGAGGGCCTCCCTCTGGTTTTCACAGCCTCCAAGCCCTCTGCGGCTTCGGATCCAGGTCCCCCGGACAGCCCCTGGACAGGCTGGATCAAGCAGCACGGGAAGCTCTGTCCAGGCCCAGGCCTGGCCCTTCTCCCTCCGAGCCTGCCTGCTTTCTTTTGCTGTCTTTCTCCTGCTCCAGCAGGAGGCAGAGCTACAGGACCCCCAGGGCACTCACTGCTGCCCAACTCAACACCCCCACACTCAGGACACACACTCCCAGTGTGTCTGGCCTGGCGTTCTGCTGGCTGGCTGTGCCTCACTGTCTCTGGACACTGGAGGATCTCTGTCTCATTTATCTCTGTGTCCCTCCTTCTCCTGGCCTGCCCCAGACTCCAGGGCCTAGGGGGAGGAATCTAATCTAGACCATCCCTGGAGGGTAGGGGCGGGGGAAGCCAGGGAAAATTCCTCCTATAGTGCTGAGGAGTTGGGCTGCTAATTGCAAGGTCAGCACTTCAAAACCACCAGCTGGTCCAAGGGAGAGAGAAGAGGCTCTCTCTTCCCGTAAAGAGTGACAGTATCGGAAACCCTCAAGGGCCCCGTCCTATGGGGTGGCCAGGGTCAGAACAACTTGATGGCAGTGAGTTTGTTTGTTGTTTGCAGGGGGCAGGTGTGGTGTCCCTTCTCCACCTGAGACACAGGCAGGGGTGGGACTCTCCTGTCCCACGGTGTTGGGGCAGCAAGTTCCTTCTCTGGGATTGGGTTTTCTGGGGTGTGTGTGTGTGTCACAGCACTTATCTTGTAGGTTGTAGGGATGGGATGAGTTACTCCAGGTAGAGTGCTGAGAAGTGAGTAAGCGTTGGATAAATATTTGTCCCCAATCCCATTTGTTCACGGAGTTATGCAGCTGCTAAGGGCCAGCACACACAGCTTGTGGGCTGCCTTGGTGAGCCTCAAACCAGTTCACTGTGACCTCTCCCAGGAGAGATGGCCATGGGGAGGTCCACCAATGCTTGGCAGTTCCTGGGCACTCAGAGTGGGTGGGGTGGGCCAGAGACTGCACTAAACCAACTGTAGGCCCCAAGAGTTCCCCAGAGTCTCAAACAGGAGCCCGGCACGGTAGGTACCTGGGGGCTGGACATCTATTTCTATCTGCCGTGGTTGGCTGGTGGCACTCATGGGTAAGCCTACTGACCACAAGTTGAGTGGTTTGGTCGCTCATAGGGAGAAAAATGAGGTTATCTGCTACCATAAAGATCTACAGCCTGTATGAGCCCCTAATAAAATGTTAAAAAAGAAACAAACAAACAAACAAAAAAGATCTACAGCCTCTGCAGCCCCATATAGGTTTGTTGCTATGGTGTAGTGGTTAACATGTTGGGCTGCGATCCACAGGGTTGGCAGTTCAAAACCACCAGCAGCTCCAGGAGAAAGACTGGGCTTTCTATACCCATAAACAGTTACAGTCTCGGAAGTCACAGAGGGCCCCTATGAATCAGTATTGACTCCATTGCAGTGAGGTTTTTGAGTTTATAAGTCAAATTGACTTGATGGCAGTGTGTGTAGGTGGGGGGGTCGGTATGTTTCCTATCAGATTGGGAGGTCTCCCTAGGACTCTCTAGCAGGTCCACTGTCTGACCTGTCTGGTCATGGCAGGTGGAGGGTGTTCAGGAGGGTGCCATGGGCAGTCCCTGCATAGAAAGCCCTTCTCTGTCACAGTTCTGCCTAGCTAGCCTATGGGAGGGTAACTGTTTACTGTGACCCACTCTGAGGAGAGGAAGCCGTGGGGGCCACCAATGCTTGGCAGTTCCTTGTGGCAGGAGGCTCTGAATCAGAGCAGGGGACTCAGGCAGTGGCTGGGGGTGGGGTGGGTGGTGGTGGGGACGAGACCTGCAGAGAAGGTTACTTCTATCAGCAGTCCCAACAATTGTGTACAGTAGGTACTGTTGTCCCCTTGCATTTTAAAGGCAACCAGAGGCAGAGAGGTCAGACACTTGTCACAAATCACAGAGCCATGTGGCTGGGCCAGAATCCAGACCTCAGGCGGACACCAAAGTCTTTGCCTCTCCAAGCCTAGCTAATAAATTTGGGAACAAGGTACCATTTGTGTCCGGAGTAGAGGTTCTTTCTGAGCCTCCTGGTCCTGCAGGATAGGTCCTGCTGCCCCCACACTGCAGATGGGAATACCAAGGCTCTGCCCAGAGTGGGGCAGAGTGGCTGGATGGAGCTTGAATTCAAGCAGGGCTGAGCCCAGTGGCCCTGGGATGGGGTAGGAGTCCTTGAGATCGGGAGGTGGGCACCCGGTTTCCAACTGCAGAGCAAGAGGGAGCGGGCTGCACAGGCTCAGGGCACCCCCTGCCTCTAGGACGGTGGCCACTGTCCCTCCCCAGCCCCAACCCCTTGCAGTGTCCACTGTCCAGACCTCCAGCTGGGCGGCTACATTTAGGGTGTCGCCCTCCCCTGCTGGGAAGTTTCTCCCCTAATCACAACCAAGCTTTCCCACAGCATCTGAGATGGCGCTTCTGCACTCCCAGGCGGAACCGACATCCACCTACTACAAGGGAGTGCAGCCCCCAGGTGTGACGGCCCTGATCAGACCCACTGGGCTGGAAGACTCCCGCCTCACGGGGCCTGTGGGCGGATCCAGGGCGTGACATCATGTCTCCGGGCCAATGAGGTCGCGTGGCCCCAAGGCTCGATTGCGCAACAAAGAGAACCCAGAACTTGAAAGGATTCCCCGGACTCCGGCTGTTGCCCCTCCGGCTCTGCGTGGCCTGCGCCCCAGAGCTGCACTCCGCCCCGCCCGCTGCCCAGCGGCTTCTCAGGGGCCGGGGCAGGATCGCTGGCACGCCCCTCGCCCCCCACCCCAGGCCCCGGCGCCACGCCTGCCCCCACCTCCCAGGCTCCAGCCCCCAGCCCGGATCTCCGCCCCAAATCTGCGCTGCCCTCCGCGGTCCCCAGGGCCTCCCGGTCCCCAGTCTCGGTCTGCACCCGGGGCGCGTCCGGGCGAAGGCCCGGGGAAGGGACGCTGGAAGATCTCAGTCCCTGATGTCCCTAGGCAAGGGGGAGCCCGGACCCTCGCCCACCCCTCCGTCCCCCGGGACGGGGCTGCCAGGCCTAGAGATTGGAGGGACGGAGAGAGGGCCGACACCAAGGAAGTTGGCCAGAAGGTTCCCAACTTGGGGGCTTTTGCAGCCCCAGGCAGGGCTCACGCGCCATCGGACAGCCCCCTCCCTCCCTCCCGCCGC